GTTCCTAGAGCGAGAAAAACCCACTGGGCTCCTCTTGCATGCGACAAGGAAAAATGGAAGGTTTACTGGCGCACGCTCGAATGAGTCGACGATCAACGGGATTTGGGAGTAGGTCGTGAAAGAATATGAATAGTGGACAAATAGTTGGCAATGCTTCAAAATCAGTGCGGGATAATGGTTTTGCGATGAAAATACAAGGAAATTGTTATGATATCTACAGTTCACGACACCTCTCTTTCTTCCCAGTCATCAAAACCTGAGGTGATCGAAAACTATAACCAGAGGAAGCTATTCTGAATAGAACTGACCAGATGGGGTGTGAATAGACCATTTATTAGAACGATCGGCAAGTGGTACGTATATTTCTGTCTCACCATGCTTTAGACACACCTTTTCACCCATACTTTAGGCATATAGTTTTCCTCCACCTGATCATCCTAACATGGCTGGCGGAATCATGGAGGATATAACGAGCGTCTACAAAAAATTTGCTCACTAAATGACTTCAAGAAATACATCTATTCATGATGTCGTAGATGCGGGAGTACTTCCCGCCAATAGCTCATTTAGTTGAAGAAATCGACACCGGGGTACAAAAAAGTGGGTGTGGTATATGTGATGTTACTAAAAGGATGTCACAGAGCAGCATGATCGGAAATATACTGTTGTATGTCCTACGTAGGTTATCACTAGATGCTGCCGTTATAGGAAACATGACTGCTTAGAATGTAGATGTAGGTGTAATGCAATGTGTATATAACTAGTACGATCTATAAGAGTCAAGAACTGCAAGTATGACGTCAAGATTGCGACTGATTAACGGTAGGTAAGACTGACCTTAGAGTGGCCTCTTTGGATTTCGACTGAAGGAAAGAACTGCAGAATGCTATTTGTTACAATTTTTATAACTACTAGTTATTACTCTTAACTTACATGATGTAGAATTTGGATATTTACATATCGTACATGTATATTTTGTAAATGGCAATTTGTATGTTGTAAAATAAATATGAAATAAAAACCTGACATGACGATAAATCATTCGAAACACAAACTGTGTTGAATCCCACTGGTGAATGCATGTGAACACCAAAGTACTCCAAAAAAGTCCCTTCGACCATCTTATCGTTATCTTTTCATGGCGAAAGATGTCTCTAAGAGTCGAATACCAGTGTTCAAGCAGAGCAATTTCTGCGCTCCTTCACTGGTCATCCTGTCTTTCCTGCACACTCTCTTCAGCAACAATACTTCGTCGCCGCGAAATCACCTTGTCCAAAGAGGTTTTGTCATGTAAATTATTAAGCGTAGAGAATAGGATTCCATGAGCCAGTCTTGAAATTGGATATACGTTTGACACTTTATCCACATAGTACAACAACTGTGGTTAAAGACATCCGTAAACCACAGAAGAGGAGTGACACAACATAGTGTAACGCAGTCGCGTATCTGTTAAGCATTCAAGATGCGGTCGCTTGCATTATATTTTCAAAGATGGGTGAGAATAGGGAACGAATCTTTAGAAGAAGCAGGTAACCTCAATGAAAACCACCTACAAAACGAATGGATGTTTTTTTCAGCAAAGAATGCAACAGGCCTAGTCTATGTGCCACAGAGCCGGAACGAACAAAAAAATGCTGTCGGAGCCTGCATAAATGATGAAAACGTGCTATCCACATATCGAAGTAGGCACCGTGAAGTTTCGAACACACCAATGAATTACAGCACATAAAATCGCTTGCATATGTTATATTTGATATGTTCAAAACACTGGCATTAAAAGTATTAAGAAACACATTACTTGTACATCTGAAAGCTCTCCTTAGAAGCAATGCAAAATCAACACAATCCGAAAGTAAAGCAATATGCTAAAATCATTTACCCTATCTGGTATATCTCCAGCTTCGGTTCGATAATTGACATTTTCCTTGTCTGCTTTGCGTACTTCTTCGGGAATTTCAATTTTACTGTTAGCCATCTGCAAAGGAAAAAAACAGCTGAACACACCGATATTATCAAAGCAAAGCATTAATAAAAAAAAACTTAAATCTGATTGAGATCTGGTTACACCTATGCCCAAATTCATTTCGTTGTTCTTTTTAGCAAAGAGAAGTAATGGATGCTCGTTATTTTCAATAAATATGAGGAACAGATTGGTCATTGAATTGTGATATATACAAAGCATAAACTTCAATTAAGCTATTCCTCAGAATTATATAGAAATACGCTCTGGGAGCTAACGCACAAGATGATTCTTGTATAATTCATTTCATTTTTTGTTTTCTATAATCCGACATCGCATATTGTGTCGATCCCATCACTTCTCTGATTCGATTAGTTCCTTCGTTGATGAAGAAAAAGCAAAAAAAAAAAGGGTAAAAATATCAAGTACTCAAGTAAGACGAGAGGTAAAACAGATAGGCAGATAGAGAGTTGGTTTCAAAAATTTGACATTAAATGTTGATAAGTAATAAAAAAATTGATTTTCATTGGCAGGTAGGCAGCTAATATGTACGTACCTTGGGCCGTATTTCCTCCAGACGATCACAAGTGAGGAAGAAGTCCTTAAATATCGTACGGAAGAGGAGTCAAATGGGTTATGTTCGATCCAAGGATTTCGAGGACACATATCATACAGGACCCGTCCAATATGCGTTGTAACGAATGTTGTTAAACCAGTCATTCCACACCTTTCCAGTCATAAACCTCAATTGGAGCGTTAATTGCTCAGCGGTATCGATTTCGGCGGCCATACTTCTGTTCGAGAGAGCATCAACTCCGCGATGCTCAATAGAGGATACAGAGACCAGGCACCTTTCGTTGTAACTACACCATCACTTTAGTCCTTCCAGTTCTAAACAGGACTAAAATGTCCCTGAGATTTCAGCAGCGTCTCTATAATTGTTTCGCTCGACGCTGTGGTATCAGATACTCCCTTGGGGTGAAAGAAATGAAGTCCTTTATCTATGCAGTTTCTGAACATGAATACACATGGAGAGGGAGTCGTTGCCTGTCCTTTTCCTTCGAGCTAGGGAGAGTAACCAGACTACTTGTTGGAACGACTGCTAACCGCCTACTAGTTATTTAGCCGCATGCATATGTCATATGTCGATGTATGTACAAAAGGTATATGTCAATATGGAACATCAAAACAGTGATCTGTCAACTTATACGCCCTTTAAAGAACTTCTGAAACAACCATACATGTGTCACTTTTTCTTTTTACTACAGCCGAGTAAAACCCTAGATGTAGAATATACCTGTTGAAATGAATGTTAACAAAAATATTTCATTATATCCCCTTGTCTTCCAACCGTTGTAATGTGCTTGATCCAAACAAACATGAAGAGATATATCTATTTGTAACTGATGATTCAAAATGAAAATTGAGAGCGTTAAAAGATAAAAATTACTAAGCTGGAAAAGAAATAATGCACCATACCCACGTCTTCTTAGCATGGAAAGCATGAATATTTGAACTGCCGGTCTTCAGCAATAAGGAGGAAACGAAGAATCGTGCACTATACAATTTCTATTTGAATGGGAAGTTGCTAGTTGAGTGGAAATTTCTTTTCTTGTAATATTGAACTTCGTTGCAGCTATTTCTCACTTGCTTATTAGTGAACATGTTATTGCTAAGAAGGCTTTTTAACAATTGTCTACTCTTAACTAGGTTCCAGGCGAAAAGATTCAACTCCTTCTAACCTTGTGGACTGAATAGCACTTCCACGTAGTTGTAAGACATCTAACCTTGAAGTCCATGAAAAGACCATATACTCTCCCCTTAAAACTGCAATAGATGTAAGTGCAAGAGTTGTTTAATTATTGAAATCACATAAGGATTCGTGAAGGAAGATTTGTTGAGAAGGTAATTTTTCAAAGCATGGAAAACATGGAAATCGGAAAATTGCATAGTTGTTCGCCCGTCGCTGCTAATAAACCATCGATGCCATGTATATTCGGGCGTCCTTTTGGAAATCAAAAAATCCAAACTCCTCTTAACCACTCTTCTTCCACAAAACTGCCAGCTGACGAGGGCGTTTTTGTAGATTTTCTTATCAACCCTCTCCTCATCCAAAATCAGATTCAAGCATAATATGCAGCTCCAGGTTCACTAATAGAAAGAAAATGTAATGTGACTGTGAGTTCGGTCTTGCTTGAGCTGGTAGCGACAATATTCGAAGCACATGGTGTATGTCGGTGTAGTGGAATAATTCTCTCTTTTAGTGAAGGCACCACGGGAGGCCAGCGAACTGACATTCAGGTAACTAGGTTAACGTTAGCTGTGTTGGTTCCACTGGGTTATTACTACACAATAGCCAAGTGTGTGAGCACACGAAGATGTCGTCCACGGTATCCTCGCTTAAATCACTACTAGAGGCGACTTTCAACAAATACGTTAGCTAAATTATCAACTGAGTTCCTCGTAAGTCCACTTTACTTTTCTCAGCTCTCTCTTAGAAACCCATACTTCATAACCCTCAGAGTGAAACTTCAAATGTTACACAACATACCTAAACAGCGCTTGAACGCTGAGAATTGGAAATTGGAATAACATAGATTGAAAAAAGGAACTTTTTCTAAAATGAAATAGTAGGATATTAATTGATTTCTGCCTCTTATAACAAATTTCAAGCATAATTTAAGCAATTCCAAGTTATAAGAAACTACCTGTAAGAGAATAATCGAATGCTTAACGGTATCCAGTAATTTGTTACTGGACGATATGAGATCATCGAAATTTCTGCACTCTTTCTCGCTTGCGTACTCCTTTAAAGAATCAAGTCTTCTAACCTAAAAAAACCATTAATTAGAACAGCTAGTCTGATGTCCATGAAGCTTTTCCAAAATAAGACAGCTTTCGGAGAATAATTACCAAATTACAGTTCTTAGTGTTCTACAGTTAGAAATCCTTAAAAAAGATGAAAAACGTGCTTACATTATTTGCACACATTTCACTGGAATTATTCTCAACATCCATTACAAAATCTTCAAACGTTTACCTATTTTGGTGAAGGCGTTCTAAAATTTAAACATCCAACCTGTAGTATAATATCAGAGAGGTGCCGATCTGCTTCAACAACTTTTTGCTTGAGGACTTCTGAAATACTCTCTCTATTCTTCGGCGTCTTTCGGTATCCTCCACATTCTCGGATTACACTCTCTAGGGCACGCACCCAGTGATTCCTTTCCTTTTCATCACGACCCTTAATTATTAAGAGTAAGCATTAACATGTCGTACTAAATTTTTGGTTGTAATATATTTCTTAGAGTTATGAAATATCTACCGTTTTCTGGAAAAACTGAGGAACGAAATGAAGTGCTACAACGGTGTTACACAACTTGTTGGTAAGGAAAGAAGCCTCGACAAGTACTAGCAGAAACCAACACAAAACGAGGAAAAATACTACTAGGTGAATACTGAAGCTACCTGAGTTAATTATATTAGAATTTAGCAACGGTCAAAAAACATGAAAACAAACAACAGTGAGATTTACTTCGTTTATTTTTTATTTTATTTCACTTCTATTACTTATTTACTTTGTTCCCTGGAATTTACTTTGCTCAACACAGCACGTGCAACTAAACTAGTCAAGTTACAGCGAAACTGCCATCAACCAAAGGGAAGGGTAGTGGAACAGTCAATGTCAATGATGATGGTCGTTTGGAATCGCCATTTGAAGCAGATCGACGAGTGACCACTCAGAGAGATTGGCTTCTACTACAACTGGAAACTTGCCAGAGAATTAGTTATAAGCAAAACATTTAAACACCTTGAAGTAATAAAAAGGAACTTCACTGCTTTCGCAATGTTATAAAAGGTAGTAAAAATAGACACTGTAATGATGCTGAGATATGTTCAGAACTTCGGATTATAGGTGTCTGCGGTGGTCAACGAAAGCGCTATTGCTCTTTCCGGGGGGTTAACGCGTTCACCACCACAACATGCGCGTCCTTCGTTTCGCCTGTCTATCAGCTAGTTTTCTATCTACCAGTGCCATCAGCAATTACCCGTTAACAATGTAGACAAACTTCAGGAGAAAAACTGTAGAATAGACACTGTACTTCAATCAAAAGTGACTAGCAGGAGACAAATATGCATCGGCTTTCTGTAGTGGTGATGGTTGCTGCGATTTTCAACGTGGAAATTAGTACTTCCAGCGGCTATTAAGGCATTACAGGTGTAGAGTATGAACGGCTTACACTGCTTCCTTTCGTGCAACTCCAATGACGTCCTGTACAAGACGAGACTCAACGCCACCGGTTGTCTGACCGTATTATTGACAGAGTCACCAAAACTGTGAAGTACTTCAGGTTTTTTATTGATGGCCAAACAAGTTGCTTTCTCTCTTGGAGCTACAACGCAGTTTATCCTTTTCTGTTCCTTTTCCCCAATTTGATTCTGAACTGAGATATGTGCAGTTGAAGGTTGTAATCCGAATATCTTTTGAAGAACCTAGCGTTACCTTTCAAGCCACCTAGTTATTTCAAAATTCAACCAGAAATTTATGGAAATTCAAAGCTCCAACTCTTCCGTTTCAACAGACTAAGCAAAGATACACTAAGTACGACTGAATAAGATAAACTCAAACACAATGTGCATAAGCAGTAATAAACAATGATGTAGTGCTGAAGGATCTAATCACAAGGATTACGCCATGACTAAACTCATTTGGATAGTTAGATGACCCGTCTTCATTTGTTTTGTGGGCCCAGCATAATTCCCACTCCTTCGAAGTTTTGCTAGTTTAGCTGTTGTGGTTCCCTGCAGTCCAGAAATCAGCCTAGCTAAACCTGCCCCATGTCGTCACCACCACAGGCAGTCGCCGCCCTTGTGGACCAGGAGATTTGCCACCATGCGACTAGTTTGGTACCAGGACGGCGGTGGATCCTGGTATAGGTTTAGTCACAGCTGGGCTTCCTGATGTACACCCCCCACATTCGGCTGGGAGACCCTGCTAGGTGGACGAACACACCCGCTGTACATAACAACCCTACACAAAAATATCCAAGCCACGATGAGGCGGTAAACTGTTGGGAAGCTATGACTAAACACAAAACTCATTCGGTCTGTTTGTGAATAAGTGTTTACTACCAAAAATTACACGAGGATCTACTTTTGTTCACCATCTTTAACACAACACTTTCTGCGAAGCAACAAGTTTGATTAATAAAGTTTAGCATGAGAAGATGAGTTTAGAGGAAGGCGAGTTCAAATGTCTTAGGTGTTAATACGGACAGAAAAAAATGGCACTACTTAGGGTTAACTCATAACAATATCATAGTATTCACATTGTATTTTCACTGATTCTCATTAAACTAAGGTTATTGTTGACCCCAGTAAATTATATCGTCGAGATTCATTCTGTTATATCGTTCTGGAGAGGGCGGTCGACTAATCGTACTATCTGGCTACACTGGAATAGTTAACGTTCTGCAACGGTTTGAGTAATAAAGCGGCAAACTTGCCTCCGATCGACGACATTCAGCGACTACTCGTGTTGACGTGTGAACAGTTGAGCGAAGGTATAGTTACGTCCGGATTCCAGACGAAATCACGCTTAAGCATCATCCACCATGTCAATGAGGACAGAAAACAACAAATCCTTAAGGAGGAGAAGAATCAACACTCCAACCTGACCTTCTTCGTGGATAACGAATGCAAGACCGCGGAAACGAATGCAAGAAGTATTCGACCCTCACAACATATCAGACAGGTCTTCTATGTATCTAAGGAAGTTATGATGCCCAAGTGTTGTGCAATATTGTTTCAACTTGCTTACAATGATAAAAGATTATTGTGGAACGAAATGAAAAAAAGAAAAATGATAACAACAGCAACAGCAAGAACAACAACGGCAGTGCAAAGCATCTTCTTCCGAGGCATAAATAATCAACAGAAGTGCACATATTCAGGTAAAAAAATATTCTAGCACCACCACGATCAAATTTCGGCACTAATTCACTAATAAAATAAGTAAAAGTCAATTCGTTTTCTAACTTAAATAAGAATCCTATGAGAACAACATATGGACCTTCTCTTAGGAAACGAAAACGACTTTGCATAAGGAGATGTCGCCGAAGCGATAGCTATCGAACATCTAGAGGGCTAGAGAGAATGTTACTCTTACGCACATTATTCATCAAAAACGCATGAACGCGAGCACCGGTATAGCCCATATTATGTTGTGTTTATCACGCATAAAGGATATTAATAACTTTTCCTATACAGCCTATTTGTTCAACTCTTTATGGCGTAACTATACCAAAGGGTAACACGTTAAGCTTAGTGGTGGGTTTTGGGCTGTGATAAGATCATCCGCTACCAAGAAACACGCATTTTGGAATCACTAATAAACGGCTCAAAACCCCTCATATGAGGGAAAACCATGGAAATATCGTAACAGGATCTGAGCTAATTCAACGATGTATGCATATAGTTCATCAAAACCTCAAAATATTCTTTAGATATTTTCTTGCAGAAAGAAATCCTCAATTTATAGTCTTTGATAAATACGCATATAATGCATTCACTAGAACATGCAATGACTTCACTGCATATGTGAGCGAAGATAATTATACCTTTCAACCAAACAGGTCATAAAAAAATAAAAGGTACAAAGCTTTCGGCGTTGATCTATCCCTGAAAGGTGCGCCATGCATACGACTTCATTAAGCATCGCTGGAGGTGATTAAGCACATATCTGGCTTTTACAATGGCTCGCAACAGCACTGGCTCGATACATCGGTGGCTTACCGATATATCAAGCCAGTGCTGTTATCCTCCTAGACAAGTCTGGTACCAATTTGGCGACCGCGGAGGGATGGAGGGCTTGGTGAGATGGGTGCGGGAATTAACCCCATATGTACTGCAGCGCGCCTCCGACCATTGCGCCACGCGCGCTCAAAATAGCTCATAGTAAACTTTATTAACTGGAATAAAAATCAGAACAATTTGCAGATTTATACCGACAAGATAAAGGTTTTCCTGTTCCGCTAAAAGAAGTCCTGATTTCCTGAAACCCATAAGACGCATTTTCTCTTTGCCTTTCTTTGAAACACATATTTCAAACTGTTAAACAATTAGAAAGCAGGATTTCCTAGATCGGAACACGATAGTGATCTAAAACCAATTACTGACTTCATATCCGCCTCTGTCGCGCTGAATGTTTTAGAAATTCAGGCTTCGTCTTCAAGTTTTTTGAGCATTTATATTTCAACGAAATCCAAAACGAAAGCAACACCTATAAAAGTTTCATTCTAAGTTCCAATTCCATTTATTAAACCTCTGGAAATGGAGCAAACCGTCTTTTATAAGTGTCCTCAATTTCTCGAGTGTTTTACTCGCCAAGAAAATATCGGCAGTTTTCCAAAACCCAGCAAGTTGTGAACTTGGTAGTGATAATATGAGAAAGATTCTAACCTAGGGAATCAACAACTTCCTCATAATATTGACTTCTACAAAAACAATCTTCATATCAAGACAAATTACTAGCAAAACACTGTCTATTGAAACTAGTAAGGATTAGAAAGGTCTCGGCATTGATCAATCCCTGAGGAAAGCGCTATGCATTCGACTCCATTCGTAGCAGCGTTAGAGGTGACTGACTGCATTTCTAGCCTATAAAATGACTCGCGGTAGCCTACCTATGTATCGAGGCAGTGCTGCTAACCTCCCAGACCGGTCTGATACCAATTTGCCCACCCGGAGGGACGGAGGGCTTAGTGACCCTTGCGCGAAGGGACCGATCCCAAGTGTATTGCAGGGACCCTCCAACCACTGCGCTACATACACCCTAGCAACGAAAAAAATCATAACCACAAAAAAATAGCGCCAGATATAAAAGTAACAAATCTTTCAAGAATATAACGACAAAAAGAACTATTTACCTGTAAGTGGAACACCTTCCCATCAACGGTTACAGTGAAAAGACTATTATTCTCGCCGTCTATACCTACAACGGCCCCGTGTAGACGCATACAGCCTGAATGTGTGGACAATACGAGCTCATTTCCCTGGGATATTTAGTTCAAAATGCGAAAAAAAAACCGAATTGTATTAAGACTAATGATGACTCTGACCTAGTCTGTCACTAGTCCTAAGAACTTATAAATGAATATACAAAAATTGCGTGAAAAATACATCACGCACATACACTAAAGAGTAAAATTGCATAAGCATACCAGTTCTCTCCACCAAAGACGAATTCCTTAAAAACGCCACTAACCTCGTTGTTGACCTTTAAGCATCTTTTCTCTAGATGTGTAGTACAGCAATGCATCTTCTTCCAGGCGAAACCATCGATACTGCCATCCGTGAACCATATTCGTCCATTTTGATAAAGGCCCTTCCATCTGAATCAATTATTTCTCGCCAATATAAAGATCAGTAACTACCAACACCAAAAGAAAAACCTCGGATTAGGGAGAAAAATTAGAGAACGGTAACGAGAGAGTCGACTTGGGGCCGTGTGGGACGGGCGGGAGCGAATTTGCCACGCCCACTACGCAGCGGTTGCACATCCAGTAATTGCGGTCTAATAAGCCAGATTTTCGAGTTCTTCCGTTCCCACTTCCTCTTCCGGTTATCAAAAGTACTTTTATAGATACAAATACATACTTTTTTCATTACATATCCCAAAAGTAGAAGTTATACTTAATAGTATTCTACACACTATTTGCTTCTTCAATGGCATTGTTCAAGTTAACCCTCAATGGATTGATTCCTCTCCATTGAGCTGACGAATAGAAATCACTTGACAACTGCTAGTACATTGTCATTGGATGAAGAAGTTGTGGAAGGTTAGCAGATCACCAATTTTGGAGTTCATCTTCAAGAGATAGTTCCCTTCCTTGGAACATAACGATCTGCTTAAGCTGTTAGTCGCTTTGCTTTTCTTCTTGAAGAAAAGAAAAATCAGTTGCCTTATTGGAGGACGACGCTACTTTCTTGCTTGTCCCTGGATTCTCCTCTGTGATAGGACGATTGAATGAAGGCGGAAATTTGAAATATTCATATTGAAGCCACCTACGTTCAAACCATACACCGTTATCTAATGCAATTGTTAAGCTAGGCAGTACAGTTGCTGTTAAGGACGACGATGCTTCTTGACGAAATGGAAACTATTAGAACATGGACAGGTGTAAATTTAAGACACCATAAAGATCAGCTTTAGAAAATCCTTGTACTATGTACGTAAGGGAATTTCGCGATAGAGCAGGTTTGTTGTTGTGAACTACGTTTGCGTTTGCGCAACGTTTGCGCCACATCGACACATATGGTGCTGCACTAGTAATACTTGGATACTCGCTTGTCCCGCCCTCACTGGTAGTGTGGTCCGAGTATAATCTCCATTTTTTCGGAGTTTTGCTGGTTAAGCCATTGTTGGTCCTTGGTGTCCCCAGGTCAGCCAGGCAAAGTCTGCCGCAGGTCTTCACCACCACAGGCAGTCGCAACCCTTTTGGATCAGAGGGAGATTTGCCACCATGCGACTTTGTTACGAGAACGGTGGTGGGTCATAGTATTGATTTACTCTTAGCTCGGCTTCCTGATGGAAACGCTGGACTGCTTCTTAGCTTGGGAGACCTTGCCAAGGAGATGAATCCCCTCATTGTACTTTGCAGTCCAACACCCAGGAACACCTACCAGCCACGATAAGGCAGTGAACCGTTGGGAGGGGTGCCGTGGTAAATCTGAATGAAAGCTTTGTTAACCATGCTTTGTTATTACAGGTACTTTTTTCGTAGTATTACAACAGTGAACAACGCGTCGTTTTCTTTTTCAGTAATTGGAAAGTTCTTATACTGCACACCTTTACTTTTGTGCAAAAAGAAATGCGTACAACACAACAGTACCCGACATTTCGACAGTATCGCCTTCATCAGGGTCGGGAAGGGTACATTGATACGTAATTTACTAGGCGAAACGCTTCAACAACACAAACAGAAAGATAAAAATCTGTCCTAATCTAATGCCGAGCTTATAGAAAGTCGAGGGTGCCTTGGAAAGCCTGGGAACAGTGAACAACGTTCACCACCCGATGTCTGGTCGAACATCAGCGCAAATTCGTGACATTCAGGCAGATCATCGCGTGTTAAGTACCCACGACACCATTCAGCAACGTCAGGAGCAGGTTAGATGTGCTTTTTTGTCAGTAGATTTGTTATATTGTAGGAAAGGATTTCGCTGCTAAGTCCTTACTCACGATAAGCAAGAGTGTGTTGCTTATATATGGAGTTAAATTGATAGCTTGACAACGATCTTACCAAGTGTAGTGTCTGAATCGTTGATTTAAGAGCTGGCATTGAGATAGGTTAACCATGTTAATGTTTTTATAGCAGTTTTCGTGGATAGGCGTTGGTAATTGTGACGATTAAAGACTTGACGTAGTAATGACGGTAAGGTTCTTCAACTTCTGTCTTCCGACTTATGCTTGAAATATCCTGTTATCATCCCAACGATTTACTGTGGGTGTCAGTCTACGACCTACAGCGGGGGATTCATCATCCTGACATGATCTCCAAAGGTGAGGAGTCCGGCGTTTCTATCAGGAAGCCTAGCTAAGAGTAAACCAATATCAGGACCCACCCCCGTACTGGTATCAAAGTCGCACGGTGGCAAATCTCTCTCTGATCCACAAGGGCTGCCACTACCCGTGGTGTTGACGACCTGGGCAGACTTTGGCCAGGCTGATCTTAGGACTCCATGGCAGCACAACTGCTAACTCAGCAGAACTCTGAAAAGTGGAGAATATGCTGGGGGCTGCACAACCAGTGAGGATGAGCCGTCCAAGTATCGAAGTAAGTATAGCCTGTTATAACATAAACGAATGCTTGATTTCAGGATGCGTTTTATACTACAAGTCCTCCTGCAGTTGTTCCGAAAACAGGCAACACAGACTACGTAAATGTGGAAGAAGAAATGGTTAGTTTCTTTTGTTTTTAGAAAAGTATGTTGGAATAAAAGTCCAGCGTCTTACCGTTTCTGTACTTAATATATTAGTTGAAGATTCTGTACATGAGTGGTTCGTTGTTTAGATTGAAGTGATAGGTGCAGACGAACTGCTTACAGAAGCTGTTGAAGAAGTTAGTGGTTTAGTTGACGACAAACAATACTCGTACGAATACGACAGTATGGTCCACACACAGCATGATCAGAATATAATTTTTCAAGTTTGTTCCCAAGTTTTTCATCTAATGTGTATCGCGAGAGTAGAGCAATCGCTAGCTGTTCTTCAGCTTTACCAACCGTTGGAAACGTCCCATGGCACTTTTGTATGTCGGATATGTCTTGAATTGGGTGAAACGGTCGAATTCGAAAATAAGACATCCTACACACATCATCGATACAAAGTCCATGGTTCTTACAACGTTAGTGTGTCCATTTTTCTAGTTATTGCCCTTTGTATTCTGATCGTTCTAGAATAATCACATTTGTCCTGTGCTTCATTGTCGGGAGATTTATGCTTCTATGACAGTTCTAAGGAAGCATCTATGTGTAAGTATATTTTTCGTGTTTTCAAAATCAGAGAGATTTAATAGCGCTTTTCAGATCGACCACAAAATGCCCATTGAAATGCACTTTCGAATGTTCGCTAACGTGGGTGAATTTGAAGTAGGTATTTCGATTGTAATAGTGTAATTCTTTTAATTAGTCGCGTCACATATCAATTTCTTTTATCAGCGTTTTCGACACCTTGTTGAGACGCTATGCAACTGCCGATTTATGATGCATACAAAACAACCCCATAACAGGCGGCAGATTATGCATTGCTCCAAGAGTGAACACAAAACCATTCTTCAGTCAAGAAGGTATGTTTTCTCAGTTGAGTTACACGTTTCATCCTTAATCGTAGAGCTTAGCGTTATCCAGAATTTGAAATTATGACAACAGATTGTGCTTCTGTAGAACACAATTTTATTTCTTAGCCAAAGCGTGTGTAGCGCAGTAGTCGGAGGAGCTAAGCAATGCACGTGGGATCGGTCCTTATGCCCATGGCCCACCAAGCCCTCCGTCCCTCCGGGGTTGGCAGATTGGTACCGGACTACTCTGTGAGGATAGCAGTGTTGGCTGGATACATCGGTGGGCCACGGCGAGTCATTTTAAAGGCCAGACATGCATTCATTCACTTCCAGTGATGCCTATTGAAGTCGAATGCGTGGTGCATCCCTCAGAGATTGATCAACGAGGAGAGCTTTATCATTTATCCCTTTTTCTAACGACTGCTTCCTAGGTGCAGTTTTTCCTTGATATGCAGAGGGACTGATCAACGTTGAGAGCTTTGTCCTTTGTTACTAGTCATAGCGACTGCAAAAATATTGTAGTCATAAATTCGTCGTTTTCTTTCTCAGCAATCGCGAGGTTGTTAAAAAGCATACGTTTACTTCTATACAATAACACACATACAGCTCAACCGTAGCTGACGCTTCGGCAGAATCGCCTTTTTCGCAGCCGCTTTTTTCACCTGTCTTCCACCGAGGAAGAACAGCCGATCAGAGTCGCATATGGTTGACGAGTACAAAAGATTGTCTTAGGTAGACAACAAATCAACTTTCTCCGCCGCCGTCTTCAACATGGAGTCGTGCCGAAGTTCATAAGACGAAAGCGACTTCACGAAATATGCGGTCAACCAGAGCATAGCCAACAAGTGCGAAGCATCGAAATAGTCCTACTTAGACCCGCACTATGAAGCAAGCAGAACGATATGTGCGCCGGAATTAAGAGGTGTGTGTGTCGAAGGAACATTTTTGTGCTTTGTATTTGGAGGATCACCTTTAGATGAGATTTTTTGAGAAGGAGTAGGAAGAAAAAGAACATAAGATGCAGTCGTCAACTATATGCGACGCTGATCAGCGGCTCTTCCTCAGTGGAAGGCACGTAAAAAACAGCTCTGAAGAAGGCAATACTACCGAAACGTCAGCTACGATTGTGTTGTATGTGCGTGATAGTATGGAAGTGAACGTATGCTGTTTAACAACTTCGCGATTGCTGAAACAGAAAACGATGAATTTATAGTCCAATGCCGACGTTAATAGAATGTCGATTTTGGGAACTATTATAGTCATAGTAACTCAAGTTACACTCTGATTCTCTTAACTCTGAGTTACAATGTTAGAAACGATGCAATGCCGATTTGTTGCTAGAAAATACCGAAATTTGAGACAAAACTAGTCGTGAATAACAGTTCAAAGGGATAACGCTATTGTAGTCATAATTTGCAATTTTTTCAAATACTGTTGAAGTGACTGTGTCTCTGTTTCACACTTTGTCTGTTAGTCACTTTCGCTGTTGTCGAACGTCGCCTACTCTTGTAATACCGACTGCAACTTCTTCGATCCGGAATTTATTCATGTTTAAATTCGACTAGAATCGAAAATTACTTTTCATGCAGACATAAACTACCACAAGTACGCATGATGAAAGAAGGAGCATGGTGTCCAGCTCAGATCTCCTTTCGGACTGATCCGAAAACGGGGTAAGGTTGTTTTATATCTACCATTATGGAAAAAACATATCCAAGTAGTTCGTCATCACAACCTTCCGAATTTGCATTACAACTTTGCCATAGTATGGATGAAAAATTTGGGATGTTTGAAACAAATACTGTCTTCGTCTTGTTTCAGTCGCGTTGATGCTTTCTATCAACTTTTTCACTATGGCCATGCAAGAGAATACCGTAATAATAATGGAGAGGACGACGTGGAAAACCCGACCGTTTCTTCAGTGTGTTTACTATTCCTCATTTTTTTCATTTTATCCTGTAGTTTTGGAATATAATAGGGAGTCTAAATACTCTCCCATCATTTCGAGCAGTCTACTTTGATGCAATATTTAAGCCAAATCGACCAGCTGAGATGGTTTTTCCAGAGCCACCTAAACATTATGCTGATAGGCCGTTGCAATATGTTAAGGTTCGTCAGCGGTTGTTTCAAAATTGTTACGAGAGGATTCACAAAAAATAATATTGAGTTTATACACTTTTTCACTCGTGGAACTTTTAGATGGATTTGGTTGCAGCCGACAGTTGTGTTTACCTCAGTACAGTATATTCGCATATCTTGATAATCACTGACATAAAAACCGGCTTCATATTTTCAAAACCTATCCCCGATACTGGCGCTCAACCATTGCTCATACGGATTGTGACTGATATATTTCTGCAATTTGGTGTGCCAGGTATTTTCATTCTTTACTGTTATTGTTGGAATTTGTTCACTTGTTCACACTGCTCTTTCACGTTTTATGGCTGCCTCTTTCACTATCGTTTATTAGCACGGTTAAATCTACTGACGGTGGATAATCCTGATTCTTCTTTAGGTTTATTTTTGGCTAGGCTTAAAGAGAGTTCGGAGAAAGAAATAACATATTAACATTGTAGTTCAAAGTGGTTTTTTCACCTTCAGAAAATGAGAATTTCACCTATGGTGGGGTGAAACATGTATCTAGCGCAGGAATTTAGATTCTACTTTGTTGAGATTGATCAGGTTTCCTATCAGCTAAGATGCGCGAAAGGTTCGGTTAGTCAGCTTGCCTGTTGTATGAAGCGCATGCCAAGGTGTCATATCGACTGCTGCATTCCTAGTTTTGATAGGTCTTCGCAGAAAAATCCTCTTGAAATCTGACATTCAATAGTGAAGTGGAATAACATGGAATTCTGTTGTACTTCCCATCAAGAAGCTTATAATTTTATACCTTAATAGACTAGACAACCACAATGATTCTGAGAAATTCGCAAAACTTGGACCCCGGTCCAGATCGAACCACGATTTCCCTTTCCGGAGGTTCGCGTATTACACTGCACCTTGGAGGCTCTTGTTTCTTTCATACCCTATCGTGAAAAATTATGGTAGGAAGAAAATAAAGGTGGATTCATTCGATAGTTAATCGAAAGCGGGACAAAATAGGAGAGATGAGATCAGGAAAGCCATTCTCCACGCTTGGTGATTTACAGGAACTTTTTCCTTCTTGATATTCTTCAGAAATTTTCGATTAACGGAAACCTTTTTTTTCAGGAAAAGTTTATTGACCGGTAATTTGATTATTAATTAACTATTATTTCATTTTTATCACTATAATCATTGTATGGAATGTGCGGATATAAACATGCCAGTATAAACAAAATAGGATCGAATTACTTTTAAATGCCGACGTTAATGTATTCTTATGATGGAGCATAGTAACAGAGTAAACACTAAGACGTATGCATGTCCTTTGAAAGATAGAGCAAGTCTCTTCTACAACCCTGTCGTGTTCACAATCCCTCAAACCTTCAATTATTAAATAGTTATTTTTCATTTTCAAAAAATCAGGAAGTCTTCAGCCAACTTTCTGAAGAGACGTTCACTACAGGTGACAATTGGAAATTCGATGGAAAAATAAAAATTTGCAATAGCTCTATCCAGAATTGATTAATGGGGATGGTCCAGACTTATTCCACATCATCCAATGTACTAACTGTACTTGCTGGACCTATTGCTAAACATTAACGTCTTTTCACGTTTCTCTTTTTACCAATTTTTAAGAAATTTCCAACAACTGGGTCGCTACTGAAATGCATTCGGAAATCCTTTGCTTCAAGAGCTGTAGTGTGCCAGCAGCTAGAAACGATGGAATTGTAACTTTTTGGTTAACATACATCCTGTTTTAGGAGACTTTATTCTAACCAATAGAATTTTTTGGGCCAAGTTCTATTCATCATTGGTGATCAAAGTTTGCCGTTGTTTCTGCGATTGACGAAATAAGTTTCTGTTGTCCTGGTTTCTCTCGCAATATCAGAGATAAATACTTATCGTTTTCTAATGAAATCTGTGCGATGGATAAAGTTTCTTATTTTTTATTTGTTTGTTTGTTATCCATTTTGTTGTTTATTTCTTTTATTTATTTATTGTTCTTCCATTATCATCTCAAAAAATTTTGCTTTTGGGTTATCTGTGTTTTGTAGAGGGATATAGCTGTACCCATTCGGTGACGCTAATTCGTGATGTGATGAATGCGATTAGTGGTGTTTTCTGCGTCACTATTAAGGAAATTCTCTTTGATGTAAGTTTCCTTATTTATCTTATCCTGACTGGCAGCAGCGTTCTTACAACTTCGCAGTAGTTCAGAGAGATGTTTCCATTGCTTGTTTTTTTGTTTATTCACGGCAATAAAAGGGGTAAAGCTGTCGGCATTGATCAGTCCCTTAGGAATGCGCCATGCAGTAGACTTCACTAAGCATGGTTCGGAGGTGGTTATATGCATATATGGATTTTACATTGACTCACGGTAGTCTACTGTTCTAGCGAGCCACTGCTGTTATCTTCGCAGACAGGTCTGGTATCAATTTGCTGATCCTGGAAGGATTGAGAGCTTGGTGGGCCAAGGGTGCGGAGATCGATCCCATGTGTGTTGCAGGATGTTTCCAACCACTGCGCCACACGACCACGGTATTTACGGGAGTAGTTATTTAGAATTTAAAGAACGTGTTCTTGAATGTAGAACAGACCGATGGAATAAAATGTTCTAGCTATGTGAACTTAACACTGATCACCATATATTGGTGCTTGTTTTATTCGTCAGTAAATATGTTATTATTAAGACTCCAGACTACGGCTCTTTTTTGCGATCACTATACGACCAGGCTGCACTAGAACTACAGAGTAAGAACCGATGGGTAGAAATGGTGCAGTTTACTACGATGGTATTAAATCAGTCAGGAAGCAGGTCACCATTCAAGGTGTGATGTTACGGTTTTTTTATTCATTTATTTATTTATTGGTGTCTATTCATGCCTTGCGATGTCCTTCATCGCATTACAACAACGTTTCACTTGGAGTTATATTCACATTCACCTTTTAATTAATAAATAAAGTGTTATTGAACTGCTGCATGTTGTAATCATATTGATCATTGCAAATGTTGTCGAAAATCTGTTTTATATTTGTTCTGTTGATTTCTTAACTTGGTATCATCGTTTTATAGCGTATGTTCAATCGCAAGCCGTACAATCTTTCTGGGCATAAAGTGCCACCATGGCTACAGAATGAAAATTTTGCTTCTGATGATGACGAAGAGATCGATGTGTTGCTTGATCGGCAGGAGGAGCAAGCGCAATGCGATGATTATTTCCGCAGTAATTCACCTAGATATATCACCGGTGACAAAGTTTATGTAAGTAGTTATTATCGCTACAATTATTTTCTTGTATACACCGTAGTTGGAAATGATTTCCTACAGATTCCGCTTTGTCTATGGCATTGCGATAGGGCGATGACATGTAGCTTTTTTAAATTCTATTCTTTCTTACATAAATCCAACAGAAATACAGGAGCGCTTAGTCTTGTTCATCAGGTCTTCATCTTCATCTTTCATTGAGAGCGATTTGTTTCGTTTAATACCTTGAATCTTCTCTATGGTTCTTGAGGTTTCAAATTCTTTTCTTCATCTTTGTGCTAACGCCATTTTTATTTTCTGGAGGCTGAGATATCTATCACGGACTAAGAAGGGTTGTAATGCCATTCTATGGTATTCTATTTAACTCCTTACTAACACTGAGTTTGGTTCCCATGCGCGTAATCAGTGGCTTTGTTAGGAGGGATCATCTAAGTGTGACGTTGAGAAACATTAATCATTCGTATATATAGATCCTGAGACGGACATTGCTAAATTCTCACTATTTTAACAGTTTGGAAGTTTCCTTTTCTGTTTTCAGTTGAGAAATTTTGAAATCACGGCAAGCCGAGGGAATGCGCTGCCTTATCTGTATGGCTCTATTGGGGAAACTGATTGGGAGAATAGCCCACGATTTCCTTATCATGTCTATTTTTCGAAAAGCAAACACCCTTGGCCATCTGAAGGTCTGTTTGTGAAATTTGCTAAATTGACCCCATATGAACTGATTTAAGTTTTTATGTTCAATTTTATAGGCTCAGAAAATATTTGGGCTAGCCCATACGATGTGTTGCCAACTACACACGATCTACTTGTTATTTCGCAAGAAGGTATGTTTTTTGCTCTTCTGAAATGGTTTCGCGAGCCGCATATTTTTGAATGCTATTGAATTTTTATGCTATTGGATCCGAATAAGCGAAACGTATTTTTTGGTAGTTGACGCTTTTTTCTTCTGCGATTTAATAAAAAGGCGGTCTAGCTAGAGCCTAAAGCACACTTTTGGCTTGGGTTTTTTAGTTCGTCAATTTTAGAGAAAATTACCACTTTGAACCATCAAAGTTTCCTCATCTAGAAAGATTGCGAGTGACGTCGAATTTATTGTGCTGTTGTGGCGGAGGAGATTACGGGGTCCCTTGTTCACTTTTCCGAAGTTACCTTTGTGCAAACGGTATGGCGAAAGCTTGTTGTTTGAGTAGCACAAAACCTTGTGGTTACCATGAGGAATGTGGTGATGGTGACGATAGTTATAACGTGGGTTCTAATACAAGCTCTGTTCTTTTTGCATTTCTCGCACGTAGTTCCTTTTGTTTACGTTCGCTATGTTCTAGTGAGCAACTTTATTTTACTCCTTTCTTTGTAATATTTTACATACACCAAGAGCCTTTTAGTGAATGGGAAGGTAGACTTTTCCTTTATAGCGTATGGAGGCTCTAGCAAAAGCCTACGTGAATGCGCAACCAAGAGTGAAGACGTGCAGGTATATGTATTCTCAATAATAAGTCTTCGCTGAAATTTCCTTCACTCTAATTCTCAATTTTTATTCATTCAAGATTTTTATCAACTCATTGTAAGTGAGGCGAAAAATTATCCAGTGGACACGTCAGCTAAAGAAACTTAGATGTATCATAAGTGTAAAGACGCATTTAGCGCAGTGGTCAGAGGCACCTTGCAGTACACTTGAGATCGCTCCCCATGCACCAAGCCCACCAAGCTCTCCATCCCTCCGGGGTCGATATATTGCTACCACGCTTGTCTGGGAATCTAGCAGCAGTGGCCTAATCCATCGGCAGTCCACCACGAGTTATTGTAAAGGCCAGATATACATTCAGTCACCTATAATGATCCCTACTGAAAGCGAATGCACGGCGTATCCCTCAGGGATTGATCAACGCCGAGAGCTTTGTCCTTTACTTATCCTTTTTAATTTTCAGCCGTAAATTCTCATCACTTAATTCGGAGAGTATTGTTTTATCACAAGAAGATCATGTTTTCGAGATGCCGGTGTTAACTAGTGAAAGGTAATGTGTATGAAATTCTTTTTATGATAATGCGACCTACAATATTGAAGTTCTTGAAGGTGTAAGAGAAAAAGAGTAGGCGAGGAAGATGTATACTCGTTAGTATCTCCTATCGTTAGTGGATGTCAACCAGTGATTCCAATGTTGTTGAAGAGCACACGAGCTGGTGCAGAAATGAATAAAAAGGTAATTTGCTTGCGTCGTTGGGAATTTATGCTTTGTGCAAAAGCCTTCAGCTTTAGAGGAACGTGCAGAAGTTTCGGAGCAATTCTAGCAACAGCGAGCAACGCGTATTTTCTAGACGTCTAATTTACTTTTGTTTTTTTTCGTGATCATGATCTTTTTGTTTCAGTGTAATCCGCTTTTTTTCTTCTTTCTATAATTGCATATTATATTTTTAGAATAAGTCTATGTTGTTCTTTATATTGTTTTTGGTGATAAAAGTGCTCAATTTAGCAACGTCGCACAGAGGAGAACACGAGCACTGAGGCCAAATCAAATGCTTTATCGTTGTCGTCGCAGGACGGAAAGGTTAGTTCGAAAAGCTAAATTTAGTTTTCGATAGGCCGTTTAAAGATATTCAGGTTTGCGAAATGACTTTGTTTTCTTTTCGAAAATAAGTGGTGTTTTTGTGAGACACTTTCTTCTTGCTTTGTGTTTTTAGAATGATTCAAAATCAACCTCGATCAGCATCTAGTTATAGGCCCAGTTTTTTTTGGCTTTTCCTGATTTTCACTTTACAGGCATCCAAGCCACTGACGCGTAAATCCGCTAGGAACTGTAAGACGAAAGTGTTCGAGGACTTCGTTAGTGTTACTTGATATGTTTCGTGTTGTTCTTTGGTTGTACAAATGTTTTGGTATGACAGTAACAGATCTCAGACTTGTTAATGATCTAGACGATAAATAAATCGTTCAAATTTGTCAGTATTCTTTATGTTGGAGGTTCGTTGTTCCTTGCTATCCAACCACTCCCTTAAGAGTTACAAATTAAGAGTTCGTTCCAGTTAATATTGTGAAATCCTTCGTATTAAGCAGTTGGGGTTAAATTTTTGACAATACTTGTTTTTTTTTCTGCAAATTGTTAGTCTGGAATCAGAAAGGTCTTTGTTTTGTCTAGAATGAATCCGATCCAACAGTTTGTAATGAACTGTTATGTTTTCCGTAATGTTAAACACTTTTTTTTTACAAGGACTTGAGGTTTTTAGGTTTTTCCTTCTTCTACATTGGAATTAAATCTTCGTATTGATTGGTGGATTGTGTCCTTATATGGAACAAACGCACATTGCACAAGGTCTGCTGTTTAGCGTATTTTTGTTTGTCATGAATCTTTAGATTACCAGGCTCGTTATCAAGAAGATTAATATTAATGAAAATTTAAATAGGGTTCTTTCTTTTTGAGAATTTTTAAAAGTCCTTTTTTGATCAATTATGACTGGTTATTTCTTTTCGTTGTCAAGTTGTTTTTGCGTCAACTGACGGGAATCCCTCAATCACTGAAGTGGTTCAGGAGTCCATAATTTACGGAATTATGGAGGGGGTGTTTGCTCTACCGCATTAACCACATATCTATTTTTATACATGGTCTTCCAAATTCAAATATGTTTAGAATTGCTACTTTCAAGAAATCGAAATTAAAACTTAAGCTTGAAAAATTTCCAACGGAACAGCGGCAAACAAGAACGATACATTGGTGGACACCACATTGTCATGCAGACTGAAATCCGCGCTTTCATTTGCTTTAGTGTGGGATTATCTCATGGAATCGAGAAAACCAGGATTTTATCCTGATAAACTATAAAAACTTATTTTCTGATTTACAGGTTTTAATACTTCATATCGCAGTTAGCAAAATTACGTTCGGGCTGAGATTTGTTCATTTAAAGTTGGGAGCGCCCGTCATATTCCCATTGCTTGATTCCTATAAAAGTCACATGGCCATGTACTTGTCAATAAATTTCCAAGAAAGGTCCTCCAAACTTGGGGAAATAACGTTGTTATTGTTTAAAATCTGCTGCGAAAGATTACATACGTCAGCTTTCCCGAGCTCGAAATAAATAGGAATTTTTTTATGGCAGTGTTCAAAAAGCTACTAAATTACATGTGGGTATGCTGTGTAAAATCATTTTTGTTGGTTTATTATAATATCCACCTGTATTAGGTCATGATTTCGTTGAGTTCATCTATAGGATTTCTATTTCCTAGTCATAATACAGGAGTGTTCGTTTTGTTCCATAGTTTACTGAGTTCCACATCGATGTATCGTTCTCTGTACATAGAAATTCGCTTTCAGTTACGAAGAACTACTGCTGAAGCTGTGGCTTGGGTCGGTTGTTGAGATGGATGTGGGCTTTGCACGACGTCTTAGTCGCCTGGTCGTCTATCGCGAACGCTACGATCAACCACCAGAAAGTGCGTGCACGTTTGTTACGAACTCGTTGATACTCGAAGGCAAAGTCAACGTCCTTTCCGAAAAGGTATATTGGCGTTCATGATTTCAAATTCCTTGAGAAGAAAAATCGGAAATTAACGTGATTTCTACGTTTCTGAATATGAATTTATGCTTCCACTTACCTATGACTAATAAGTCTTTAAAAAATAGGATACCGCTGACTTCCTGATTTCCATAACTTTGGACAAAGATCGACGTGACCAAGTTGCAAATGGGCTATTGTTTTATCTGTTGACTGATGGCGTCAACTTCAGCAAGGTTCGGTTTCTTTCGTAAAGGTCAAGTTTTTGTACCTAAGGTGTTTTATTTTAGTATTTCCGTTGCCTGTCGGTTATCGCGAATGACCAATGGTATGCAGCCCTCTGTAACGTGAATATGGTCCTAATTGAACTATGGCCTAAGTTGCATGAGTCCTGTCGAGAGCTTATGTTACAGTTTTTTCGAGAAGCCGTCAAGCTAAATGTTCCCAAGGTTTGTTTTATACGACGTGTACACGCACATGCATTTGTATACGTGCATATAATCTTTAAAGCTTTTCTATATGTTTTATTACTATCAAGATTTTGTATTGAAACTGAGGGAGTGATTGTTTAACACTGTTTTCGGGATCAGAATATAAATCCTATTCCACTAGTTTTCTAGATTGAAAATGTGATAATGAACCTTGTACGATCGATCAATGGAAGTGTCGAGTGGAATTACAAACTGCGACATGCCCACGTGGTGAGTGTTTTGTTTTATTTTTGTGTAGATGAGACTTTGACAACTTGGATTGCTACTAGATCTTCACTTATCATTTTTTTCTATCACATAGCATTTTAAGATTGCTTCAATTCTTAACGATAATGAAGCTTGGGTGATGGGTCTCAAACCTGGTACTTTCATGCTTCTGAATGTATTAACAACGTTCGGACATTTGATAATTGACATACCACTCGGTGGAGCATTTGAAGATGTTCGAATCGCGATGATCCAAAGTTTAGTCTTTATAGTTCGGTATGTTACATGCATGTATAAGTTGGCTGTATTTATACACTACCTTCAATTCCAGGAGTGTTTTTCTTTATTTTGTTGAAAGCATAAAAGATAGTTCTGAGTTGATCTATTCACTAAGAATATGCTATGCATTTGATGTGATTGAATACCTATGTGGCTTACAGAGTTGTTCTAAAGAGACCCTGGTGTGTCGAGCTAATGACCTTACCCTTCCGAACAAGCACGCTACCAATGCACGAACCCTAAAGGGATGGGGATCTGGTTAGCCCGGCACGGAGGATTCAACAAGTTACCATGTGCATCACAGGGTACCTCTAAGCACTACGCTATGCGCACATTTATCTGTTGTAATGGTTAATGCAAAATTCTACAGCCACCTTATTTTGTTAGTCACCACTGCATTTTCTTATCAAAACAGCGTAAGATTTTTTTTTACTCTTCGGCGGAGTGGAAGGAAGAGAATGTGTTCACCAAAGCGGCAATCCGTACCCATAGCAAACCTACCCCTCATGCTAGCTTGGTCGATTTAAGCTTGCTAATTGATTTACTTGAATGACTTTGACGACTGCAAAAAAACACATTTTATTCGTTTATATTTTTGCGAGAGCGCATGTGACGCAATGGTCGGAGGCGCTCTGCAATACACACGTAATCGATCTCCACGCTGATGGTTCACCAAGCCTTCAATTCCTCCGAGGCCGGCAAATTGGTGCCGGACTTGCCTGGGAGGATAGCAGCACTGGCTCGATACGATACATCGATACACCACCACGAGTCATTGTTAAGACCAGATATGCAATCAATCACCTCCAACTTAATGAAGTCGAATGCATGGCGGATCCCTCAGGAATTGATCAACGCCGAGAGCTTTATCCTTTTTTATGGTTTTTACGGAGATTACGTGATCTGAAACGGTTGTGAAATTTTACTAGTTTGCTGAAATTTTAAATTCTTGTTCTAAATACGTTAGCTAGCAGGGCTTAATCTCCGTAAATGAACTATTTCTTGCATTCCTAATTCACAAAGCTTTTTCTTTAGCAATCGTTTTACGGATGCACTTATGCTTGGTCGCGAACTGCTGTTAATACTAATGCGATTAGCGAAGATACCTCAAATCAATTTGATTTGGGTTGATCTCATCACAAATCCAACGAAGTTTGGCCTAAATGATGGTGAGAAGTTAAAAGGAAATGAACAAATTGGGATACAGTTATTTTCGATAAAACTTTTTCTTCAAATTTTTTCTTGAATGGCTAGTATTTATTTACCTTTAGGATGCTTTTATTTAAGGAATTGAAGATCTTTTCCGATCCAATGCGAATTTTTATGGTGTCCGCCTATCTACAGAAATGGCGAAAAAGTTAGAATTCATCATATGCCAATGCAAACCAAATACTCAAGACAAGCATTTTGAGTGGTTTTCAAATACGGTAAGTAATTTCAGCTTGCTTTTTTGTATCGACTGGTTTTAATACTTTAATTCTATTTGTTGTTGAATTTTTTCTAGCCGTTGTTTTTGATGATTTGACTCGCTTGATGATTTTTTGTAATATAGTTTTAAGTCAACTGATAGGCATTTCGCAAAAGTTGTTCAGTTTTTCCGCGGGCCCGACGGACCCAGTCTTCGTGCTGAGGCCATACGCTACGTGCTGTATTTCTTTAAACCAGATATGCCAACGCATGTTTTGGAAGCTCGTGGCCATTTTCTCTACTATCTTTTGACAACAATCCCTCCTAACGTGAGTTCATTTTGACACCAACGAATTACAACTAAGTAAATTTTATTCGTCATATTCTTACTTATGTGGTTACATTAGTGAGTTTCAACAGTATCTCAGGTCATCACAAACAGTATTTGTTGAGCATATGTTGAGCATAATAGCTGTTGTGAATATGACTATTCGGCATTTTGGTGAAGGAATCTGGGATGGAAGGGCCATTAACGATTGTCGTTGTTAGTGACGGCTATCGTTTTAACATTGTCGAGAAGCCGCGCACACTTCGCCGTTATGGTGATTCCCTGACTTCTCATATATTAGTCGTGAATATGCTCTACCGTTAAGTGCAAATCCTTTGTTCTTATAGCCATTACTGCCTGATAAAGTTCTATTTCTCGTTTGGTGGATATGTTGTTGCTCTAATCCATTCTTTTGAAGTCTACTATCGAAGAACAAATGCGTAGCTTCTGTTGCCGAGTATCAAGGACCGCAATACAATCAGTTGTATTCTACACCCTGGCTAGTCTTGTCATGTGATATCTCTGGTATTGAGTGCAGAAAGTGGAATGCTTAGAGATGCTGCTGAATGCATAGCCTATGCCCATTGTTCGACTCTGCTCTGGGCGAACCATATGCCCTTATTTTGACATCGGTAACTGAGTGCAAGACTTGTGTTGGAAAAGATCTCTCAGATACGCATAGAATAACGACTGCTTCTAATGAAGATCGCGGACCGCTCTAACAGGCTTATTTCAGGATTATGGGAGAGTAACGGAGAGAAGTAACAGTCAAACCAAACGCAAATCCGAATTCCATGGCGGATGTTGAATGTAAAGCAGCGAACCAAGTGAAAGAAGTACCGAGATTCGCGCAACATTTGGTGATGGGTCATATAAAATTAATAGCAATGGTGGCATCACATGGTATCACATCAGAAGGAGTACCCTTCATTGTCGGTTCTATTCATAAACTTACTTGTGGTTGTTATGAAAACTCTGCTATGGCAAACCTTTTGACGCCTTTTCCATCTTCGAAACAGCAGTGATTGGAGTCGGGTGTCCAGAGCAGTTATTTTTTGCGGTGTCGGTCTTCATAGACGCATCGCGTCGAATCCAGTAAAGTGGAAAGCCGGAAGAATTCGTGAAGAGGGAGAGTGTGCTGAAACGTTAACAGTAATAGAGAGTTTTCTATAACAGCCTCTTTTAAGTCTATTAATAAATAAATTATTGATTATTCATACCAAGGCTAAACGGAAGTTGGTTTTCAAAATGCACAGTCTTGTTAATGTAGCTGTCTGTTAGCTCTCCATACATTTTTGAGTTGTTCACTTCAACTTTTCAATTTAACGGCAAAAATAAATAAAGGATAAAGCTCGTGGCGTTGATCAATCCCTTAAGGATGCGCCATGCATTCGACTTCATTAATCATTGTTTGGAAGCGAATGAATGCATATCTGGCTTTTACAATGACTTGCGGTGGCCTACCGATGTATTGACCCATGCTGCTATCCTCTCAGACAAGTCTGATACCAATTCGGCAACCCGAGAAGGATGGAAGGCTTGGTGTGTTAGATGCGCAGGAATCGGTTCATGTGTATTGCAGGGTGCCACCACACGCGTCCCTAGTTTAACGGTATGGTCATAATATAGGATAGGAAGTAGTCATGCATGCAGATAAGGTCCTAGGAAGATCTTGTCATTATTCATAACTACAAAGTTACGGATGGGTACTTTAGAATAGGAAAATGTGGAAGTAATGATTAACATCTGGTCACCACCTGAAGTAGTTGGTGCTTACGTCGTACTAGTTAAGCGAGCACCTAAAGGATACCCGATGCCTGGTGTTTTACTCCAAAACGCTTTTTGTGGTTAGGAAGACGAGCGACGTGCCTTTTTTTTGAATTGTGAAGCGCAATAGATGCAAATGAAGCCATTCTTGACGTCAACTCGATTCCCTCGCTGTTCCACATCTAATTCTTCGCTTCATTTGTTGTTGTAAGGTACCTACTGTTATGCATTGTTTTGTTTTACGTACTACTTGTGAGACACATGTTATATAACTCACAATGGTCCCTCGGCCTATCTGCGATCAACTACTGAATTTTTCGCAACCAGACCGGAATTTAGCTGTTTAAACGGGTTAGGGAGGATCTTTAGTTTATGCAATTATGTTATCGCACTTTATTTCAGATTCTTAAAATGACATCAAGTGACCAGTTTCTGTTTTAGTCTGATATTGAACAACAATGGTGTAGAAATGCTGTCTGGTTCGATTGGCTGACGTATGATGTGCATACGTCTGTACAATTCATTGAACCTGTCATGAGCATGGTCAGGCAAGCATTGATCAATGCTCCAATGAAAGCTACCTCATTGTTGGAATATGTCTGTAGGGTATGTGTTTTTCCCGTTTTCGGATTTCTGCGATTTGTAGTTGTATTCGACTGCTAATTATTCCATTATTTCAGGCTATTACTCTTATGTACCCTTCCCGGGCTGATTTGTTTAAAAAGGCAGCAAATGATGCTATGCATGCTGTCCACGAGTACTATAGCGGGTGAGTTTGTTCATTTATGTTATACGTTCGGAAAAAGATTGTGGTCATAGATTTGTTTATCATCAAATAATGTTGTTTTGAACTTACTTACTTATTTGGATACTTGGATGGCCTGTCCTCACTGGTTGTACGGACCCCAGCATAATCACCATTCTTTCGATGTTTTGCTGGTTTAGCCATTGTGGTTCTTTGGAGTCCCGAGATGAGCCTGTGCAAAGTCAGCCCCAAGTCGTCACCGCTACGGGCAGTTGCCGCCGTCGTGGATCAGAGGCAGATTTACCACTATGCGCCTAGTTTGGTACCAGGACGGTGGTGGATCCTGGTATTGGTTTACTCCTAGCTAGGCTTCCTGATGGAAATGCTGGACTCCTCAGCCTGGGAGATTCTGCCAGAGGGATGAATCTCCACACTGTAAATCGCAGGTAGTCACCTAGGAACACCTCCCATCTACGTTGAGGCGGTAAACCATAAGAAGGTATTCTGAAATTGCTAGTAATTAGTAATCTGTATGTTTTAATTCACAACATTTCGTAATACCAAGTTCATGCGTATTCTAGTTTTCCATATTCCGAAGTACATGCAGCTGTGATCCTGTATGATCATGATTTAGAGGTTTGTTGGCAATTTTGGATAATCCACGAATCGAGCGAAGTATACGTGATTTGATACGAGAAACGTTTGCCGATTACTTTTCTCGTATCACAAGTTTACCATCAGCTACACTTCAGCCAGCACCATTAATCCCTTCGTCTTCTCCTTCCTCACAGCCACCAACATCAAGGTTGGATTTCATTTGTGATGTTTTGCGTAAATATTTGCAAAATTTTACCTCAGATGTACTGTGTTTTGGTGATATATCGCTTATTAAGTTGATTAGTACATTATAGATCAGTAGCGACAACCGCCTCGAATTCAAACCATACATCGGTAATCAAAGAGAAAATACGGCTGAAAGACGGAGAGAAGAACAAAGAAAATGATCGGGACGAAAGGGAAAGGAGTAAGCAGAGTAAGACACCGAGCCCACCGAATGGCACCGTAATTGCAGAGTTGGAGGAAGTAAGCGACTTGGACATAACTATATCTCATTTCTGAAGCATTTGACGAACTCTAAACTTGGTACAATTTTTGTAATCGGTTGAGGAAGTCTAAAAAGAGATTCGGTTTTAATTTCTCAGCAAATGCTTTTCTCAGATTGCTTGGTTACTTATTTTCTTAAGCCAGAAGTTTCTATTACTTTAAAAATGTAGATCAAGAAGAAGAAGCGAGAAGAGGAAATTGACGACTTGGTAGAGCAATTACGAGACGATTTCAAAGCCACCATGATGTCTTTACGGTAGGTTTTGTTATTTAACCCTTAATAGTAGTTGTTAGAGAATTTAAAAAGGGATTTAGATTTAAACATGTTTACAAAGTACGTAGAATCAGTTGCTTCATGAAGCTGTTTCGTTTTTCTTTACAAGGTATTTTGTAAACCTGTATGTGTTTTGCCGTTAAATCCATTTAATATTCGATCTTCAAAAGCTGTAGACGATTTATAATTAAAATTCTCTGTTTTCAAGAGAAACTTTCCGTGAGACCGAGGATGACAGTGAGCGTGGTGAAGCAGTGCAACGATTATTGCAAAAGCTCCTTGAAAATGTTCGTTTACCAATTGTATTTTCTCCTAACTATCTTAATAATTGGGTTAATAGGGAAGGTGGTTACATTTTTTTTAAACCAAACGTCTTATTGCAATATCCACTTACTTCAATGCACAGCTAACCAGTAGTGTACTCGCCATCTTCTTCGATGACCTTTCCATATCTTTCCAACAGTTACACAACATATCCATCGTAGATTCGGAATTTCTGGTCATAGTGTCCAGGAGATTTTTTTAAGTTTCTGCAGTGGTGAAGTTCTGTCGTCCTGTTGATCTTCGAGTGACTTATCTTGATTTTCCAACTTCATTCATTGAATTTTGCTGCTTCAAATTCGTTGTGTTTTCTTTTCAAATTCGAAGAAAATGTTTTCTGCGAACGCGGTGGTCCATTCACATGTGAAATTTTGGGACAACAGCGCCATCGATGAAGCAGTTTTCCCAGTTTACTGTGATGTGGTCAATTTTGTTATAGTGTTCACCTGTGTGACTCCCACATCCAACCTTGAGAGCGAGGCTATTGGAATACCGATTAACTACATAACGGCCATTGATCATATCCATACCATTAGACTGCGTGGCTTCCGATATGATATTCATCATATAGTTCTCCAGGTTTTGTCTTAATCTTGAAGTTGCCACTGATGATGCTCTTACCTGCGCCACCTGTAGTCCCGTTGATCGTTGATTCTGGAGTAACTCGAGCCGGCGCCAATAAATCATTAACTTCTCACAACTTCTCACAAATAAATCACAAACTTCTCACAATCTTCTTCTCACAAAAAGAATAGGCCAGTGAGTTCTGCTCGCTATATGGATTCTTTGAGCATCATGTCTTTCTTCTAGGATTTTCGTGAAGGCTGTGGTCCACCGGTTGTTGTCCATACGCATTACGTATGCGGCCGACCTTATCTTCAACAGTTTGGCGTATAGAATGACGTGTTTAATTCTAGATTGGAACTTCGGATCCCTTCCCTCATTTCATGTGCTGAGTCGAGACTCTCTGACTGTCCAGGACTTCCATGATTTCTTTTATCTCAACTGGGTAAAGCCTTTTTTAAATCGATGAATGTGAGACAAAACCGTCTTTTTTTACTCTTGCAACACTTCAGTGAGTTTTGTTATCAAAGGTGAAAGGTATATTCAACGAGGAATATCAACGAAAACATTCCGCCGAAGTTTTCACCGAGTCACCAGGTATAGTTTGAACAGGTGCTCTGGTTAGAACATGCGCACATCGGCTTTGTTTCTGTCTCGATCTGTCATAATTGCTGGGGCGGGTGTGGTTGTTGTCCAATATTTCACTGTTTCTTTTTGTTTTGAATGGCGCCGAAAAACAAGTGTTCCTTCGAAAATCGTCGAAATCAGATTTTTGAACGAGACTCTCTAGACTACAGAACAGGTGGATGTGTCATTTATATCCTTTTCCATATGCGAAGCATATTTTAATGCTTGTTGTTGAGTCGATGCGTTGTGGCTTTTCGGAAATTGAGGAAATAGCTTCATAGATAATGCATTTACATTTTACATACGATCTGACGTTACATGTTATGTGGATGTCAACGCTTTTTCCTCTCGGTTAGTTGCCTCGCATTCTTTCTTTGCATTCTTTGCATTTCATTCTTTGCATCTTTGGAAGTCTTAGAATTTGCGTGTGGTTCGGGTACCACCTGAGAACTCCGTGTTCCTCATGGAGTTCGTTGATTACTGGTCGAGTTGATTCTCATCCGATTCTTTGGTTCGATTACAGTGTTCCCAAGTCTTCATTGTAGGCGACGGTCTTTGTGGATCTCAGAGAGCTTTGCAGACAAGTCTGGTACCAATCTACGTTTATAGGAGGACGAGAACCATAACTTGGCTGAATGACCAAGGACCAGGCATAATATGCACATATATCAGTTATCCATCTTTATATTTGAAAGTCACTTTTTCATTTTTTGCTGTTTTATGTGTTCTTATTTAATTGCTAAATTTTAGGAGGACTCCATTGACGACGAACAATTAGAGCTGGTAGCTCATAGTGTTCAGCTTGTGATGGGCGGCCCAGTTGATGGTAGTCGCCGATCGATTCTTCCTGATCCAGTAACTGAGGATGCGTTAGCTGATTCATTCTCCCATCCGTTATTTATCATATTCCGTAACCTTTGGTAAGCAAATTTCTGTGGATTCTTTATGTGATGTCGAAGCAATAAAATACGCAACTGTTTTATTCATATTTCATTAATCAATGAATCAGGAGTCTAAGAACCATCATATTGATTTCTTTTTATGTTTTTTTGTACCGTTCAGTTTCTTGTTCTAGTTATACTCCTGATACGGATGCCACAACGCGGTCACTTATGGTGAACATGATTGCCACGATGCGTGATTACGATAACACAGTCACTTATCTTATGCTGTTTTTCATAAAGGTAAATTTAACGCGACAACTTCGACTCAAGTTTTGTAGAATTGATATTTTTAACACATTCGCGGTGATGTGTAAATACCGAATATATAAAGGTTCGAGGGTTTACCCAGTACAAATGTTGTTCTATGCATTGTCCAAGAAAACACACATTTTCGAATAATATCCAATGATTCAATAATATACAAAGAACCAATCGAGTGCAAGGCGAAACGAAGAACGGGCATGGTGTGGTGGTGATCGCTTTAGTTACCGGAAAAGGTAATAGCATGTTCGATCACCACCGCAGGCACCTACCGTTCACAGTTTTGCAATTATCTCAGCATCATTGTGATTGATTTCGCATAATGTTCTGCCGTGAAAATTATAGTAGGTAGTAAATAAAGAGAAGCTGATATTGTACAAAGAACATTTTCGGAGTGGTTACTTCGTCAAGCTACAGATACATGTAACGATACGATTTAAGTCCAGTGCACTGCGCATTTCACAAAAAAGGGGTTTTTTCCCCATGAGATAGACACCGTAAATAACACATTTTACCCAGTGTTTTAAGGCTTGAGAATAGGGAATATTTTTGTGTGATCAATACATTTCTGTCCATATTTTGCTTTTTATCTTCCACATGTTTTAAAGTTTTTACCGTTTCAAAATAGGAAACATTTAAATATCACTTAGCCTCTATATCAACGTCTTCGTTGCTGCATTCAGTGGGACGAAAACTGAGTGTAATTGAGTACGTTTCTTATAGGCAAATGATGGGCTAAGCAGTGAGTGTATCTCATGTTATCGCGATGTGGCGCGTGCTCGAGACGAGGAAATTGAGACGTTAATAACAGCTGATTTGCAGGTACTGTTGTGTTTTAATACTACCAACTTGGATACTTGGATGGCACTTCCTCATTGGCTGTGCCATTTCCCTGCATAATCTCCTTTTTTTGAGTTTCGCTGGTTTAACCATTGTGATTCCCTGAAGTACCGTGGTCAGCAAGGCAAAAGTCTGCATCAGGTCGTCACCACCACAAGCAGTCGCCACCCTTCTGAATCAGAGGAAAATTAGCCACCATCGCCATTAATTTGATACCAGGACGGTGGTGGACCCTGGTATTGGTTTACCTTTAGCTGGGCTTCCTAATGGAAACGCCGGGCTCCTTCTCAGCTTGGGAGACCCTGCCGGAGATGAAACTCCCCGCTGTACATCGCAATCCGAAACGCAGAAACACCTCCTAGACACAGTGTGGCAGTTAACCGTTGAGAGGTGCCTTTTAATATCTATATATTATTGTCTTTCTGTAATTATTCCCTTGGTTATCTTCTAACCGTCAGCCGATGGTTGTATTCCACTGCTTATCTAGTCAGTACTACTGTCATATTCCACTGTGGCATATTCTAAAGAAAATAGAAAAACACATTTGATAGGTAAAAATATTACTGCTTCTAAATACTGCATGAAAAGTGCATTTACCTTGATATATGGAAATGTGGTTATGTTTCATATGTTGCCATTATTATGGATTGTTATTGGTGTTTAATGTTGTATGTTGTTATGTTTTCGCATTATTACAGCAATGTGCGGTGGACGATGAGCGATTATTTGCTTTTCTTGTTCCTTATGTATTTCAAAAACTGGATGTTGAAGCCGGTGCAAGTGCGTCGGTAAGTGATTTCCTGTTAAGTTGCAAATACTGTGTTGTAACTGTACCAAGTTCTGTCGTAATTCACTAATTTAAATGTTTTTCGTATATTATGCACTTTTTAAACTATATGTATATATGGCGGAACCTTCCGATATGAACGTGAACTGTTATTTCCACACATGGTTGCAGTAAATTCCCGGTGAAAACATGATACAGGCTACTTCATACGAAATCTTGAAAAATATTTTACACGCTTCATGAACACATTGGCGATGACATAGTTGCACATGACCTGTCCGTTTTGGAACAAACTGGTCTACATGGATAATATATAACCCATGTTCTTTTCTCTCCTCATATGAGGGATCTCGACCCTGCTAGTCGCGAGACTACGTGGCGCGTCCCCAAGTGGCGGATAGGGGGTTAATTGCGGAACAAAAGCGACCTTTGCTTCCCTAAGACGCAGGTGGATCTTGGGGATAGATTTCCTGTTTCTGCTGCGCTGATTTGGCACATACTTTCTGTATTTGCTAAGCGTATTCATGCATGCATGTGTGGGTGCGTTCTTGCTTATACGGATTGTATTCTACGAGTCAGTCCAACTAAAAGCCTGCAATCAAGTGACTGGGAAGTATATGAGAGGCGGTTAGGACTCGCCTCCAACAAATAAGCTCCATGTCCACTCTGGGAGAGCCTGGCAAGCTACCCGTGAGTATACCCAGCCCCCACGTTCAGAGCCCAACAAGCTATACGTGAGCATCAAAAGTGCTAAACAGAGTTTAAAAAAAACGGGCCTCATTTCCCTGACCCCGAAAGATCTCCCAATTAGGCAGCGTTGGCTAGGACGAATACGGAGAGGCTGCTAAAATCTCAGGGCCAATGGAAGCTCCTTGGATTTCAAAGAACTATGGTGACGATGAGTACTTACAATGCACGTACACTTGCATCCGAGTCATCGATAGAAGACTTGCTCATGCAAGCAAGTAGGGTAAGGTACGACGTCATCGGCCTGGCCGAAACGAGAAGACGCCGGCCTTTCAACGCTGTCTATGACATCGGAGAATGAATTGTTCCTCGGAACATGCGACAGTAGAGGAGTCGCCGGCGTCGGCGTTCTCGTCAACACGAGTTTGTCCATGAACATTGATTCATTCGAACAACTTACAACCCGAATCGGACGCTTACAAAAGACGTGGATCAATTCCGGCTTTGACAATCTTCGTCGTTTACGCGCCGACATCAAACTACGACGAAGAAGAAGTCGAAGCGTTCTATATAGACTTGGAGAAGTTCTACATAGAAGACCACACATTCTTCACGGTCATCATTGGAGATTTCAACGCCAAGATTGGACCAAGAAGAATGTCTGAAGAGCGTCACATTGGCACCCACAGATTACAATGGAACGAATAGGGTGAGCGGCTATCTGAGTTTATCATGTCGACCAAAACAATCCATGGTAACTCGCAATTCCGGAAGCTCCACCCTCAACGCTGGACGTCGGAGTCTCCCAATGGAGAGTACCATAACGAAATAAACCACATCATAGTAAATAGAAGGTTTTGCCTAAATAATGTCGCTGTTGTCCCAAAATTCTACACGTGATAAGACCATCGTCTCCTTTGTGAAAGATTCTATTTTTCGCGGAAAGGAGAAAAAGCCTCTAAATTCCAAAGCCGAAGTCCCAGAACCACCGTGAACTGGGATTTATTCAATTCATCAGTCGGTTGTTGGAAGGATGCCCGTATCGATAACATCGACGAAGAATACGATCGGCTTATTCAACATCTTCACGCTAGCGCTATGAAAGCTCGGAGTTCGAAAGTCACCAAGAGAGGTCTGTCTCCAGAAACACTGGAGCTGGTACGCCAGCGTGGAATCCCACGAGCTGCAAGCAACCGCGAACAAATATCCGAACTTGCAAAACATTGCAGACAGGCGATAAAAGAAGAACTTAAAGAGAAAGGACCAGTAGTAATGATCGAAGCTGCAGAGGCTGGAAGGAGCATTCGCAAAGCTCACCGAAGCTTCGTCAATTACAAGACCAAAATGATTGCTGCCCTGCTCCCAGACAGTTACAGCGTCCAGAAAGGCAATGGAGAAAATCATTCACGAATACTACTCGGATCTCTTCTATAGCCACGTCCACCTTCACTCATATGAAATAAAGGAGGATGGATATGTTGTACCACCAGTTCTCCCTTCTGAAATTCGACATGCCATTTCGTCGGTGAAAAATCGAACAGCACGAAGTCCGGACAGGATAAGACTAGAACACCTGAAGAACCTTCCGCCAGTTCTCGTAAACACGCTGGCTCGGTTCTTCGCACGTTACTTGTCTGAATGCAAAGTCCCTACTCAGTGGAATACCAACAAGGCCGTGTTGTTGTTCAAGAAACGTGACCTAAACAATATCGGCGATTATCGCCCAATCTGCTTGTTGTCTGCCGTCTACAAACTCACTGGAGTCATCTTAAACAGGATTGACAGAACACTAGACAAAGGATAGCCATGTGAGCAAGCAGGGTTTCGAAGAGGATTTAGTACGATGGACCACATCCACACGGTAACACGGCTCGTTGAAGTATTGCGAGAGTACAAAAGACCGTTCTGTCTGACTTTCATCGATTTACGAAAAGCCTTTGATTTAGTTGAGATGGAATTAGTCTGGGAAGCCTTTGATATTCAAGGAGTTCCTACTCAGTACATGAAGATTCTTGGTGAGCTGTACAAAAATTTGGCAACCAAGATATCACCATTCTACAACGATATTAACATTGACGTCAACAGAGGAGTTAGGCAAGGCGATGCCATCTCGCCAAAATTATTTACCGCCACCCACCAAAACCTCATGGGAACATTGGAATGGGATAATATGGGAGTGAAAATCGACGGTTGGCAGTTCACCATCTTGGCTTTGCTGATGACATCCTCCTCTTAACACCAAACATTAACCAAGCGGAACGATTGCTTGCCGTCTTCGACAAAGTCTGTGGAAAGATTGGTCTTCGACTAAATCTCACAAAAACGATGTTCATGAAGAAAGGATTGGTTTCGCATGCCCCATTCACGCTCAACGGAACGAATGTATCTGAATGCTTCAGTTATATCTATCTAAGTCGGGAAATCAATGTGATGAACGACCTAGCTCCAGAGCTGAGTAGAAGAAAACGAGCAACTTCGGGGCTTTCAAGAGCATCAAGGATGTAGTGAAGAGAACAAAGAACACCCGACTCTGTGCCCACCTTTTCGAGTCAACGGTACTTCCTGCTCTAACGTATGCGTCAAAAACGTGCCCTCTGCGTAAGCAGGATGAAGGTTCACTCAGCGTTATCGAACGCGCAGTCGAAAGGAGGTTGCTAGGAGTGTCCTGTTCCACACAAGTAAGGGATGGGATGCGAAGTTCCGATCTGCGTCAACGATCAAAAGTCAAAGATGCCATTCTGTATGCCAAACAGTCGAAGATAAGGTGGGCCGGACATGTAATGCTTATGAGTGGCAACCGATGGACAAGAGCCGTTAGTTACTGGGTTCTTCGAAATGTCAAACTTACTGCAGGAAGACCATCGACCCGATGTTCAGAGTTCTTCACAAAGAGCCTTGAAGAAAGATATGATGCTGGACGAGTTCCTAGAGCGAGCAGAACCCACTGGACTACTCTTTGAAAAGACAGGGAAAAATTGAGGATTTACTGGCGCCCGCTCGAGTCACGACCAACGGGACTACAGGTGACACATATAATGTTCTTTTCTATTTTTCGTTTTGCCGTACAAATCTTTTTGCTTCATATTTGGTGATCATTCGGTGAGCTTCTCTGTGCAAGCAGATGTCGTGGTGGGCGCAGACTGAGATCTTTGTTCTACACTTAATTGTTTACATGAAACATTTCTTGAACAGGTTAATTCGTTTGGTTTGAACTCTCTGGCAGGTTCTTTTATGCTTCCTCGACTTGCACACAGATTCGCAACATAGCCCATTTTATCGGTACAGCTAGGTGGTAAACCACTGAAGAGACTTCTTTGAACGTTTCTTTAATATTTAGGGAACTTTTGTATTCCACACAATCCGCGTCTATCAATATGTTTTCAGAAGATGTGTTTTTACAAACATTACGTAGTCTAATCTTTTATTCCCATCAACTCAATATTAATCTTATAGCCTCTCACTAATGCTGTAGACGTTGCACTAAAAAACGCGTACGTTTCCTAAAATTAACACTTTTTACACACACAGCCGTCAGAACTCTCAACTTTTGCAACACAAACTTTTTACTCAGATGTTGCATGAGCTAAAACTATTGCAATGTTCCAGTATTTGCAATTTACAATTTTCACGTGTAGCTTTACAACCTATAGCTTCTTCAGTAGATCTTTTCTCTGATGTTTATTGAAACAGTCTAAGCAAGAATAAGTGTGCTTTAGCAACATCTAGTTCTAACATACTTGCATGTAATCCAGCTGATTTAGCGTCTGCGTCTATATAACTGATAACCATCAGCAAAATACAACTATAGTGATGCTGAGGTGTTTGCAAAACTCCGGACCGCAGGTGTCTGCGGCGGTGATCAAACCCTATTACCCTTTCCGTGTTCTAACGTGTTCACCATCACACCATGCGCGTCCTTCTTTTCGTCTTTCTCTCAGCTGTGTTTTATAGGCACTGTCAGCAGTCACCCGTCAACGGGATTGATGTGGGGAGCTTTCGCATTTCTCCTAGCCGTGATTTATAACGACGTTCGATCCTCCCCGTCGTAGACACCTGTTGTCCGAGGTTTTGCAAGTACCTCAACATCGTTATAGTTCTATTTCACATCATATCCAGCCATGAAAAATGAATAGACAGTAAGTAGGAAAAGTAATAATATCAGTAAGATATCAGCAGTTCTGTAAATGTTGACTACGATACTAGAGGACGTAACAACTTGACGGCGTGGATACTTGCGCTCTGTCCATATGAAGCAGATTCAAGTATGCTTAGGCCTTGAACTGATTCATCAGCATCTCTTGGTATAACTTAACAAATAATGACATAAATAAGTAGGAATACAACTAGAATAGTGCCTCAGTCATGAAAGCCTAACGATTCTCATCATAAGACAGATCGATGAATATTTTGACCATGTCAACGGTCAGAATTCTTCTTCTCCTTTATTCGTTGTGAAGAACGTAGTTATAGTGCTTTGGTTGATATGTTGACGAATTTTTACATCGCGCTCATGATTTGCAAATGTTTGAAAACCATGAGACAATACATAGACTTAATGGATGCTTAAGAATCACGACCCGGACCAATTAACCTTTTTATCTCCTCAGCGGCTGTGGGACACATAGCTTATTCTTCTCTTTTCCATAACTCTTGGTCCATTCTCCGAAAGATTTCAGACTTTTGTCGATGAAAAGCGGAAAAGTTTTTTTTGGTTTGCTCTTAATTAGCCGTCAGTCAAAAGTGAAGTTTAATTTGTCTGCTGCCAACGCGATTCAAGCCTATAGAATTCAATTCTTCAACAATAATTGATTGTTAACTCATCTCCAATCGCTCTCATGATTCGTCGTATGGGATCGGCTGGTATAAAAACCAGAAAACACCAGAGTACATCTCCCATATCTTATGGAACTATGAACATTGAGAGCTTATATTATATTTAGGTTATGAAGAGCACTGAGGCTATTAATAAAGACTGTAGAAAAATCGGTTTATACAGCTAAAAGTAAGCAGAAAGGACGCAGTCATTAAACAGAGTGGGTTTTGGGCGGAATGTCGCACATATTAGTCACTGCGTGAGGGTCGTCGCCAATGTGTTAATACTGAGTAGCCATGAAAGATCTTTAATGAAATGATTAGCGTAACGCTGAACCAAACAACACAAACAATAAATCTAAACGTTATGTTTATTATAATATGGACGTTTTGCAGGTGTTCAATGTAGTCTGCTCGCACATCGATGCTCGTCAAATTATGCAGTTGATTGGGGAAATTGTCAGGTATTTTTTGTAACGTTAATATGCATTAGGCATGATATTCAACTAAAAAGGACCTGATTGGGTGCGTGGGCGCAGTGATCAGAGGAGCCCTGCAATACACACATGGGATCGATTCCCGCTCCCGTGGCGCACCAAGCCTTCCATCCCTTCGAGGTCGGCAATTGGTACCAGACTTCTCTTGGAGGATAACAGCACTGGCTGGGTACATCGGCGATATGCATTCAGTCACCTCCAGTGTTGCTTAATGAAGTCGAATGCATGGTGCATTCCTCAGGGATTTATCAACGCCGAGAGCTTTATCTTTTATTTTTTTAAGGATCAGATGCTACATATTAATTCCACTTTAATACTTCTTTGATAAAACGAGATCTTCAACAACAGCCAAATCTTCTTCCATAATTAGGCCGCTTAAACTAAGGTCCTGACAAACTTGTAGGATAAACGATTCAGCGCACCTGGGCCAACTAAACCTTCCACACTACCAGGATCAGAAAATTGGTACCATATTGGTTTTGGTGTGTGAAAACACTGAATTTGTACATTGATAGACCACCATAGGTGTATATGCCAGATATGCATTCACTCTTTTCTAGGATGCTTGATGAAGTTAGATGAACGGCGCAAGCCTCAAGCATTGATCAATGCCGAACGCTTTCTCTGTTATCCTTTCATGTACATCCCTCGTTTTCTACGCAGATTTTTAAGGGAAAATGTGACGCTATTTCGAAAAGACTCATTTGCCCAAATTGTCTACGCATCCCTGGACTGGCCTACCACAGCACAATGGGCTTTTTGGCATTTAGGTTAGTCGTGTTATCACTTCAACGAATAGAATTTTTCTTGCGAGAATAGTTCGAATTTGTGTTTTAGTACATGCTGAAGGTATACCTGGAGAATGGCTGATACAACTTCTACCCAAGTTGAAATCCTCTCAGCACGCAGAAGCTGCTGCCAATGTTTTGTTGATGCTGAAAAGAGCAGGTATTGTCTGTTCAGCATTTTTTGGATTTATGCCCGACTCGATTGAGTTTACCGTTCAGTTAGTACGGTTGTTACAAACAATGTTTAGATCGCGATCCCAACATGAATATGTTGCGAGCCTTATTTTCACGGACGCCGTTGTCTGATGACACGTTTACGATAGACTGTATTAAGGCAAGTTTTATTATTCGTTATTAAGTACGTATTTAAAACAGTAGATTATTCTACGTGTTTCCATTTTTATGGTTGAATATTCGTATGAGTTGTATACGAAATGAAACAATTTTCAAGATTCTGATCGAAGATCCGTCGACCTGTAAGCGCGTGTCGGATAATGTAGGAAATTTGTTAAAGAAACAAATGGCCGCAGGTGACCTGCATATCGGCGGTGGTAATAAAGGAGCGTCGAAGAAAAGTCCTCAGAAGTTATCTATGGAGCAGGTGGTTCTTCATGTTTTAGTAGTAACTTTCTCAATGGTGGAAAATGACTACGGTATGAATTCTGTAGTAATTAAACAATTAGTACTTTTCAAGGTTCTGGCACATCTGGAACATTTCACTCAACTTTGTCTTATGAAAGAGAAAAAAATAGCTGAGCAAATATTCTCAAATCCAACAGTTCTGGAGGCATTCACCGAGGCTGAAAAGTGGGATTTTTCACTTTTTCATGTGATTTGAAAATGATTATTACATATACAGTGGATCACATTGAGAAAATTGGAAAAGACGCCATAGTAGTATGAAATGCTTACATTTGTATAAACATCGTTGTTCGAGTGAGACCTATGTTCTCGTTTGCTAAGTGGATTAACGGGAATTTTTTCCTAATATTTTTAACCATTAACTTTGTTGCCTTCCAACGGTTTAACTCCTCATCGTAATAAGGAGGTGTTCCTGGGTGTCGGGCAGCGATGTACAGCGCGGGATCCACCCCACAGCAGGGTCTTCCAAGCTGAAAATGGTTCCGGCGTTTTCATCTGGAAGCCCTGGTAGGAATAGACCAATACTACGATCCATCACCGCCTCGGTTTCAAAATAGTCGCATGGTGGCAAATCTTCCTCTGATCCACAAGAACGGTGACTGCTTGTGGTTGTAAACACCAGAGGTAAACTTTGACCGGACTTATCGCAGGATTTCGTGGATCCACAGTGGTTAAACCAAGAAAACTTCGAAACAATGAGAATTATGTAGGGACCCGCACAACCAGTGAAGACGGCCCATCCAAGTATCCAAGTAGCTTTGTTGCCTCTCTGGCTTCTTTCATGATATTCCACCGTTCTGATGGAACTTTTCAGATTCATCTCAGTGTATACGTCCATGTAAAAGCATATTTTGATTGTAAGATTCGTACAGTTTTTTTTTTCAAATGACTTGTCTCATGAAGGTGCGATATCTACATTTTCTGTTTAGAAACGACAAAGTGGCGCCATTACGATCGAAGTTCGCGCAGCTTTTCGCCGTAGTGAATATACTTCGTGATGAATCACGCGACAAGGAACAGTCTTCTCGAACGTTGCGTGGTAATCGTGGCAACAGTGCATCGTCGTCAGCAAGTAAAACGAGACATAAGGAAGACGACAAAGATGTAAGCTTTTGAAATACGTATTTCTACAATCGAACTTTCTTTTTTTGTTTTTAAAAAATAAAAAAAAACTAAAAGGGAGTTTTTGGAGTACCCTTTTCTCTACAAGCTGATGGTTTCCATATAAATATGCTGATAAGTCTGTTATAAGGGAGATCGTGGATGATAGGTAGGGATATTCCTTGTTCCCACGCGCTCAGTTGCCTGAATAGTGTAGGGATTATTCTTTAGTAACTAAACTTTTACGTATAATTACTAACCTAACGCGAGTTAGTTATTGTGGTGAGAAACTAGCATTTGGTCTCTTTAATGCAAAAGAGAAAAGATTGAATGAGTGGTGTGATCGGATGCACAGTATACATAACGAAGAATTAATTAAATATCTGGATACGGCTTTCGATATGAAGAATACCGAGAAATGCACGACATAACTAATTGCGCTACGTCGAGCGCTGCCATTCTTACTCCTCCTTTTTGTGGTTATATCTGGTTGTGTTCTGCTCAAGGATAGATGGATGCTAATGGTCATAACATATTTTTTATGCAGTGTGTCCAGCAGTGTTGTCACGTACATCTAGGTGTTGAAGATCAGGTGGGCCGGATATGTAATGCATTGTGACGACAAATGATGGATGCAGCTCCGTTCCATGGAAAGTCAAGCGCATAGGACCATAGCTGATGGCGGACCCACTAGCACGGGACAGGAACAAAAGACTGAGCCCCAGCCCAAGTTTCGCTGCGATCAACAGGACAGATAACAGAGTTTATTAGTTTATTGTTTCTAAATCCCGACTTTCATTTAACTTTGGGATAAGTAATCGGTAATTTCTGCGATGAAAACGAAGGCGCCGAAGGGTTAGCCGAATAGCACTTTTAACCAGCATCGTGTTAGCTTAATATTCCAAGGAAATATTGATTACTTATTCTTCTGTCACTGTTCATCCAGAGAGGTTACAGTTTTTCTTACCTTTTGTACTTCAAGAGATGTCGAATATTTGGCAGGAAAAAGTGAAATCATTCAATCAAAATATGATTCGTCTTATTAAATGGCAGGGTATATATTGCGAGTAGGCAATAAATAATAAGTTAAAATTGTGATTATAAGTACAGCTTCAGCTTAACTCGGTTTGTTGCCGATTTGAGCTCCCCAAATCAGTCCCGCTAACGGGTGATTGCTAATGGCAAAAGATCGATAGAACTAACTGAGATAACTAACAGAGGCGAAACGAAGGACCCGCATGGTGTGGTGGTGAACGCGTTACTCCCCGGAAAGGACAATAGTGCTTTCGTTCCCCATCGCAGACACCTGCGGTCTGGAGTTTTGCAAATATCTCAGCATCATTGAAGTTATGATTCGTCTGTTCGTATCTAATGGTTATGAACGCAAAAGATTCAAGTGCTTTTTTGACACCCACATTTAACGTTAGTTTTTTTTATGATTTTTTAAAACCATCAATATTAAAGTAAATGAGGAAGGTTTATCTATAAATTAACACAACGTTGTGTTAAGTTAGTGGTCATCGCTTCAGTGAACAGGTTTTCCGCGCACGATCTCATGTACGGTGTATGCTTTGGTGCCCTAAATTTACTTTACACGTGTCTGTAAACTGTAAATGGAAAAATCGGCAGGTTTCAGCAAATCATCATAAAGTCCAAATCCTCATTTATTAACGTTTGTTTGATCTATACATAATTGGTGCACATTGTGAGCATCGTCTTGTGTTTACCAACAATACTTGACACTTCACACTTCAATGGCCAGTCCTCACTAATTGTGCGAGCCCCGGCATAACCTGTATTTTTCTGAGATTTGCTGGTTAAGCCATTGCGGTTCCCTAGAATCCTAAGGTCAGCCTGGCCAAAGTCTGCCCCATGTCTTCACCATCACAGGCAGTCGCAGCCCCTGTGGATCAGAGGGAGGTTTGCCACTATGGGACTTTGATACCAGGACGGTGGTAGATCCTCGTTTTGGTTTACTCTTAGGCAGACTTAGTGATGGAAACGCCGGTAGATTACCAACAATAATAGTTTATTAAGTTACAGTTTTTGCCAAAGTAACTTCCTAGAAAGATTTAAAGCAGTTTTTTTTAGTAATGTTACATGGTTTTTCTTTTAAATTTTATGCGACCTGTCTTTCACATCTGCTGTGCGGATCCCAGCAGTTCCTTATTCCATTCGTTCCCTCGCATCCATCATTCAGTAATGTTTTCCAGTTTTTACGTGCGACTTTGACTGTTGCTTGAGAATTTTCATTTCATCTTGAATGTTGTAGAACACTGGTCGAGTCGATTTTCACTGAGGTCCTGAGATGGACAGGCTAGAGCATTCGCACTTGGATTGAAGGAAACGATGTTTTCCCGGACAAATCCAGTACAATTTCCCAAACCCGATAGGGATGAGGGGCTTGGTGGGCCCAGAGCCAGGTTGAACCAGCATCGTGCTTGTGATGATCGGCATCACTACCACTATACTATGCGTCCCTTACATAAGAATGGCATCAGTTCTAGAAAGGCACAGGAATTGCGAGATTTGCAAAGAAAAAAAGAACATCTGCACTACTGATATGACATGATATACGATTCTTCCTTTGGTGTACATGATTTATTGAGTACATGCCAAACTATGTTAATATTATTACATAAATCATCATCGTTATAGCAAGACGACAACGTGTTGAAGAAGAAGTCACGTCGCGTTATCACCATCGGCTCATCGTCGTCGTCTTCAGAAGACAGTGAGTGAGTAAGTGTAAACAAGGCTTTCGGCTTCAGCAGAGCATGCTTGTTACAAGCAACCGCCGCCGCCGGGCTGAATGTGGTCGGTCAGTCGGTGGATCCTCATTCAGCAGTGTCTGGTGCCTCGTTTCATATCCATGCTGCTTCCCGACTTTCCAATGTTACGCTGTTATCGTGTTCCCATCTCATCGTTTTTCTCTTCTCCTCCTCCCACTCCTCAACCATCGCTCAGTTTCGATCTCCAATGATGCAGTCGACTGTCTCATTTCTGATATTTTGTAAATGCATATTTTGTGCACGTTAAACAGATTTGTTTATATTCACTACTTATGTTGACAAGCTTTTACATTTTGCATATTCGCATAAAATAGGACTGATCGTTGACAAGAACATTCAAATGATTTCAGGACTGCCTTAAACATTAACTCTGACATTTGATATTTTGTTAGCATACGTTGTATAGTTGTACTCTGGAAAACTTCATCGGGTCGGAAGAGTGTGTTATACACATATTGAGTGTTGTGTATGTATGTATGTAACCTGGTGTATGTACTTGTTCCAGTGAACATCATAATGTGAACGTGTGACGTTGTTACGTGAAAAATGATAAAATGATATACTATATTTCCTCGAAATCGAAGATGTCGTGGCTCATATAAGACTTCATAGTTCGAGACGTGGGAATCAAAAGTAGAGAGATTCATTTGCTTTAAGCTTCCAGTAATTCATGGGTATTTTGTCTCAACAATGGTATAGAGAAACTGATTTCGAACTACGCAATCGAATAGTGGCTCTATAGGTGTCGAACACACTTCAGATGATTACGGA